AAAACAAAGGCAGTAAATGATAATTGTAAAAAAAAAAAAAAAAAAAAAAAAAAAAAAAAAAAAGCATATGATTATTGATGCGTATGTAAGGTAGAGAATCTCTGATGTTGGGGACCTGATTCGCTTTCAAAGGCCCTGAGCTTCTTTTTAGAGCATCAGGCTTCAGGTGCGCTCCGAAAATGTTGGCTTTTCATAAAATCCACTCACGGTGCAGTTAAGGTGAGAATGGCTCAACGTTTGACCTTCAAAGAGAGTAAGGATCCAAACATTGGGTTTCATCAGCAAATACATTTTTTCATAAACAAATTAACTTTCTTCCATCTCAGTTCCCTAAATTTGAATTCTTAAAACCTGTGCGGTGAGCCAAAGGGATGGGTTAATTAAGGAAGACTCTAGACTCAAGATGATCTAGGAAAAGTGTGCAAAAAACAGTGAAAGACCCATTACTCTGTATCCTCCAACAATAAAAAAAAAACAAAACAGTAATGCTTAAAAATGAAACATAATACTCAAATCTTTGACTTTAACTTTTTAGTGTGAGATTTTGTTCCTGAAATAAATTATTAATATATCATAATGCTTGACAGTTATGCCTAAGGAGAAAGTCTCTTTAATGTATTGAACAAAGTAAAGTTAAGTTATAATGATTACAATGATAATCTTACCACTGAGATGTTAAAAGCATAGAGAAGGTCAAATGGCAAAGCTGCAATCAGATCCACAAAGAACCAAGTAGTAAAGTAATGCAGGTAGATGGATCGAGCATCATACACCACCTGACCCGACTGGCTCACGTATGTGGTGCGAAAATTCAGGATAATATCTGCAAAATTACACAAAACATATGATGAAACCAAGAGATTCTGTGCCAAACACTGAAGACTTGCTCTGCGCTGAATTTAGCCCACCGACTTGCATGTGAGGGAAATGAATGTGATAATGGGTGAGCTAAATTTGTATGACCGTCTCTTTACTGACAAACCTGTGGAGAGGTTGTGTTACAGATGTGTTATGGCACTTTTGCTGGAAGAGAACTGGGACAAAGTGAGAGGAATCTAATTATGATATATAACCTAGGGCAACGCTGAAACTCTGAGTGGGTGAGAAATGGTGGGAGGTAGTCACGTGTAAGACATCACCATGGAAACAGCTGTAATTTAAACTTAGTGCTCTTGTCTTTCTATAATGTTGCTTAGGATGTTTGAATATAAAGATCAATAGGTTTGTAAACCTCTAATATTTGCCCCACGGTTTACTTTAAGCAAATACACAGAAACAACACCTGCTATGAAGAGCATCTCCACCACTATGTCGCTCCAGGTGGTGCTGCGAGTGACAAGTGAGAGATGATCTCCACCCTCACTGTGACTGACAAAGCAGACGTTGAAAGGAACAGTGACGGCGACGTAGAAAGTCGCCAGCAGAATCAGCCAATCCCACATGGCCTTGAAGATGCTGTAATGCAGCAGGATGAAACGCGACTTCTTCACAGAGGCCACCTTGTACTCAGGCAGGGAGGGCTTCTCAAACATACTCTGAAAAAAAAACAAAAAAACGCAAGACTTTAAATCCAACTTCTAACGACCTCAACGATATCCAGCCTAATAAAGGGAATCTTATACAGACGTTTAATCTTAAACAGACTCTTAAGGAACAGAAACTATTAAGGATTGCATTTATGTTTTTAGCCTGTGGTTATTCTCCATCATGTAGAAGATGCACTCACATTGCTCAATTTTCCCTTGCCTCTTTTTGTAAACGCGTTATTCAGGCGGTGAAGCACAGTCCTACCCCTTTCTTGAGCTCGAATAAAGTATGATCGGCTGTTTTTTCTGTGTTCTTTAGTGGCCTCTGAAAAGTCACATAAAAACCCAGAATGGTTAATTTCACACCTCTAAAACCAATAGAAAACAATGTTTTTTTTAGCATCAAGTTTTAAAGATGTCTTAGAGACATTCAGCAAAGAGAAGCTTCAAAAGTAAGCAGCAAGGACTTACCATCTTCATGGATGTAGGGACGGCTTTTCCCATACGATTCACTGACATCTTTAAAGGACAGCAGAAACAGCACAACTTCCCCCTTCTCATTTTTAATTGGGACAATATCCAGGAGACACCAAAACTGATTTCCTGTGAGTACCAAAATAGAACACAGAGCTATTAATTAAAGAAAGTTATTAGTCTAAAATGACCTCTTGATGCCTAAATAAAAGTAGGACCTACCCTGACAAAGACTAAAACAAAAGGAAATTTAGCTTTCATCATATTTAGTTTTTTTGATGATTTAGTTTGAGAATTGATGTGTAGGAATAACTCAACCTGTTTATTTTAAACACTCCTCACCATTTTTTCTGTAAAAGCAGACCTCTCCTTGATACTCCTGCTGCCCCTCCAGAGCCTTGTGCACCTGATCCATCACACTATCACTGGTCTCAGCGCCGTGGAGGAAGCTGCAGGTGCACGTTTTCTGCATCACCTCAGTCCTAACAAAGCCGGTCAACTCACAAAATCCATCAGAGCAGTAGACGATGCGGTAATCATGGCAACCCTGAGCATTTCCCAGAAGAAAGTTACTGTCTGTGAGTGAGTAAAGAAATACAAACAGAGGTGGTTACAGCTTGAAAACTACACCAAACATGTCAACAACTTGTCATTTGTTTTTTGGTTGTTGGTGTTGGCTTTTTTTATTTACTTCTTACAAAATTCAAATCCCAGAACAAATTTCAGGAATCTCCTTATTCTTTTTTCCTCTCATGATCCGCTGGTTTTGGTTCCTATTTGTTTTTGTACTCTAATATTTGGCTCATGCTATACAGTATATAGTTAGTTTCAGTGTGTTGTTTGTTATTCAGAAGATCAGATATTTTCAATCAACAGCAGAAGAGAAGAGAGGCTGCTCCAGATGTGGTGCAAGATAAAACTGCAACTGAAGATCCTTCCTACCTACATAAATCAGCACCTACAACAGCTGGTTAATAAAAAAAAAAAAAAAAAAACTAATGAGTTACTGCAACATTTCCTTTTCCTTTGGGATTAATAAACTATTTTTAAATTACAGTGAATTGAATTACTGTTGTTTAGTTATTTCCATAAAGACCTAAACAACTCATTCCTTTTTATTTATTTTCTTTTCTTCTGTTTAGCATTATGTTCTCACTACATTTTGGTTGGTTCCTTTTTGTCAGTATATAAGTTTTTTCAGGCCTTTTTTTGTGCTCTAGTTAGTCATATTCTCTCTCCGTATTTCACACATTTCCATAGCAGTTTTGCATCCTCCTGATTAGGCTAACCTGTTTCATTGCCTCTCTCTAGACTTTACTCATTATCTAAGCTTCTTGGTGTGCACAGATCAATGCAAGTGTCTCTCTGAGTTTCCCTAGTCTGAGACTTTGATTCTCCTGGTGTCTTTTTTTTCGTGCAAGTCTGCTTTCATTATTCATTTCTTTTTAACACTGCAAGTCTGCCTATATCTTAAAAAAGTTCTCCATGTTCTGTATTTGATTGTGAATCGATCCTAGCCAAAGTTCTACTGAAGGGACACTGTTTTGATCTGCCAGGTTCTTTAACTTTTTGTAATTAGTACAGCCTTTTTTACATATATAATTTGGGTGTGTCTTTTGACTAGTGAAGGGCAAAAAACAAAAAACAAATCCAAATGCTTCTTTAGCTTTCAAGCATATGATTTAAGGTTGGGTTAACCCATTATAGCGCACTCAATGAAATCCTTTAAAAATCCACATTTCAAGCAAATAGTGTTATTGGAATCCGGGACAAGACCTTATAAACTTTGTAACAATTTGATGGCAGAAATGAATTTCAACTTGACCAAATATATGGAGAAAAATAACAAAAATAAGTGCTTCTATAAGAAATTCTTTTTTTTTGTTTTTTTTTTGTTGATACAACATAACCTTAGAGGCATTAATACTGATACCTGCACTTACATTTTTTAGTGTATAAACCAAAATATAATTGTTAACTAGGCTTATTAACTTTTTAACTTTATTTTTTTCACGTTTCCATTAGCTTTTTGCCTTTTTTAACTTTGTAATTAGCCTTTTACCTTTTTTCTTGACTTTTTAGTTAACTTTTTACCCTTTTTCTTGACTTATTAAATTTTTAAATTTTTTCAACTTAATTTGGTAGGTAATATATAATTCAAGTGTTCATCTAATTGGTCAAATGCCAAAATCAGATGTACAGCCATCTTTGCTGAATGGCTGGATATAGATCTTGTGCTTCTAGACCTCACTGAGGGACGGAGGGGAGGGGACTCAATTTGTAGAGGTATGCAAGTGATCAGAAATGGTAACTTGCCTATAAAGGGTTAAAGCTTTTATTAGTAGAAACTGATAATTTCATGGACCTTGACCAAAAGGTAAAATCCAGAAACATAAAACATCCACGGACTTATTTGATTCTGGCTGTTGCATTCTTTTACTGATGCACAGCAATCAGTTAATGCCTCTTTTACTTTCTGAGGTTATGTTCCACCAGACCACAACATCTTCTCCAGCCCGGTTTTTAAACATTTGACTTTGACTCATGGTTTATTTATTTGGTAACCCTCATTAAAAAAACAACAACATATGCATACAGGAGATCATTGTGACTTGTAGAACAAATTTATTATATACCTGTAATTCATGAAGTTCCTATAGTGTAGATGTGTACAGTCTCCTCTTACATGTTTCTGTCTCTTCTTTTCCTCAATTTTGGTAAAACATCCAGCTTTTGTAATGTCACTGCTGTGCCTCACCTTATTTAATTTGTTCCAAGACAGTCATAAATGATCGCTTTGTGCTTTTGATGGATCCCCTTCCACAATAAAATTCTAAAATATATTGCTTTCATGAAGGTCACTAATGCAAAGTGTAAAATCAAGATTGTTTCTCGTTGATTAAATTTGTCCCTCAAACAGTAACAGTCGGCATCTAAAGTGGAACAAGTTTTCTAATGACTCCACTTGGGTATTTTATTTATTTTTCTTAACATCACAAAACCTTGCTTTTTCAAAAATATGTACAATTTAGTTCATCTGTAGCCCTGTTAAAAGGAGAGCTACTTACTCTACAGAACCAGACTGATGTTTATGAGACTGATGGATTTATGAACATTATTGTATTTTAATGTAATTTTGATTAAATTGCAGGATCCTATCTGAATGATCTTCAGACTAAGTTTCATGTTCACTGCTTTCTAATCCTCACATCAATTAAATCTTTTCTCAATAATATGTGTAAAAACACAAGTATAAAACTCATGGTCTAAAATGTTTGTATAGTTTCATTATATAAGCTACAGAGGAATATATGAGAAGCATTAGTGGTGAAATAATTGTTAGAAATAATCTCATGTCCTCATATTAATAAAGCAAACTTACAGGCATGTGTTTCCCTTCTGTTTCCCTCTAAACAATGGATAAGGTTTTCTTTTACAGCCACTAATTAACTGCTGCTTTGAATATGAACAAACAGCATTTCAAAAAGTTCTCTGTTTGATATGGCAAACATTTCAACAATAAAGTCGCTTCAAGGACGGCTTAGAGCACCTGCTGGCTGAATGTGAGAGGAGCTTTATATCCTCCCTGCTGAAAACAAAGTAAACATGAAGAACAATTTATTCATCATTAAGAGGAACGACTTTATGGATTCATATAAGAAGTAAAAGGTAAAATATCTCCAGTCTGTTACATAATTGCCTACAACATACTTATTGGCTCTTTCTGTGCTATAGAGCTTAATTATTGTAAAACTGCAGCATAACATATGTTTTCCTTCTTTTTTTAATTCTCAGTGATCCCCATGGCAACACTTAACTAGAAGGATCTTTTTTTAGCTTTCTGACTTTATCTCCACATACTTTAGTAGAAAACATCCAGACATCTAGCTGCAAACATCAGTCCAATATATTTGAATGTAGAAATGAACCTTGACCAATGCTATGTTATTAGTACCAGGGATCATTTTACATATTTTGCTTAAAAGGTCTTAATTGATAAAAAAAAAAAAAAAAAACTGTTACAGTTAGAGATTTTACAGCTCATTTGTTTTATTTTTCACAATCAAAAGTGTAACATAAAAACATCTTGTCCAATCAAATTCTAATTTAAATCCCAATCCCCTATTATTTGTGATGGTAAACTAGCAATACACCATGCATGTTAACCCCAGGAACAAGCCCTTGCAAATGAGCAGCAAATGAGCAGCGAACGCACCAGGGAGCATTATTATAGATCCTTCCTCCCTGCAGCTGTAAGACTTTATAACCATCGCTGTTCCCAACAACCTTATTAAGTTGTTAAATTCATGCTGATTTTGCACAGTTTCTATCTTAGTCAGTTAAATAACATGCTGCTGTCATTTTGCACATCTCTGATGTTGCTGCTGTTTTCTAATATCCATTACTGTAAAAATGTCCATAGTTTCATATTGGTTATTTATTCTCCAGGTGCACAGTTTATATTGTTAAACACTTAACAGTACAGCATTTTATTGTTTATCTTTTAACTTTTCACTATTATGTTATTCTTATACATTTTTCTAAGGTCCACATTTGTGTGACATTTTTTTCTATAATATTTTTGCTGCTGTAAACACCAGAATTTTCCCATTGTGGGACAATAAATAGATATTCTATTCTATTCTATTCTATTCTATTCTATTCTATTCTATTCTATTCTAAATCTTTGCACTGAAGCATAAGGTCTGGAATCGACTTGTAAAAAGGCTGTAATACAAAATCATGACAGAGAAAAAGGCAATGAAGAGGAAGATATCAGTAAAAAAAAAAAAGAGGTAAAAGGTTCATCTAAACATCAGTTCTGTCTTCAGGGGTCGGTTGTTTTCTATATGTTGAGGTGGTGGGTGATAAGATGAATAATTTAGGGGATTTTCCAGTTTTCAAAAAGGTTGACTGAGCAAGACCTCAGTTGATATCTGATAAGCTCTCTACTCTACTGCATAATTCATTTTAATCAATCTCCCTGGTTTCATAGCAGGATCATGTGGATAACATCTCTGTTCACGTTCTCTATGGGTTTTAAACGTCGGTGCTCACATTTCATAGAGATGTTTAAAACAATTATCAGTCATTCGGTCTTCATAGACTGTGCCAATCAGTGGTTGAACCTATTCATGCTTAACTTTATGTGACTAGATGTAGATTATGTTAATGTTTTTGAATGTTAGATTTGGTTTAATTAGTGTAACACAAACCAAGAAATAATTAAAGAATTATCCAACTAAGAAAGCTTCTGTTTTGACAATTCTGTCAAAATTGGGTTGTTTTATTAAGATTTAAATGAACAGAATATTTTTTTCTACGGCATACATACATACATACATCCATCCCTGTTTTCTGTCAGAACATTAGCTATCCCTGCAATATAAAATGGAGAATAATAATCTACCTGTTTAATCTCAACCTGAACAACTAGGATCACATTTTAATTAACAACTTAATTAATTAAATCATAATTAAATAATTGAAACAAATTTCTTTACATATTTTAGATGCCTTAATACATGTTTCCCAACAATAATTCAACATATTTTTAAAGTCAGTGTGCCTTTTTGGCTCTCATAATCCTAAAATAACAAAGCAGGGTGAAACTGTTGTCAGAATATAAAATTAAATGTTTTAATAAGTTCTAAGTTATAAAAAAAAACACCCAAAAATAATAAAAGAGTACCATTAGATATTCACACCCTTTAGAGGACTGAGATTTTTTTTTGGGTTACACAAACTTAATTTGCATAAAATGTAAGCCAATTGGCTATATTTGATCAGTTTGATAGAAAAATAGAAAAGACAGACATTTTCATTAAATACTTACGAGTTCCATCAAAGTGGTTTGCTATGCTTTCCAAAAATGTATTTTGTGGCGCAAGGAGGCCCTTCATCACAGGCATCTTCTTTCAGACTTCTGAGATTTTCAGCTTCCAGCAGTTTGTCACTTATCCTTTAGAAAAATGACGAGAGAAAAGGGCTGCTTCTTGGTCCTTTGTTGGTGTATAAAGTTTCAAGTGTTTTCTTGTTCGAGAAATTAAAGAAGAGATTCTCAGATAAACCAGATTGCCTTTTCAGAAGGTGAGAATATTTGCAGTTCTCCAAAGGGTTTTTCTTTCTGTACTAAATCCGGATTTGTCAGGTTCAGCTGCACATTGCTCAGCGTAGTCTTGCAACAGCATCACAGCATATGCTCAAACGCTCTGTCAGTCTTAACTCCACAAAGCATGATTCCTGCCATCTCTGAGTCCCCTCCCACCATGAGAGCCTAACCCGTTTCTCCATCTCATTCAGAGTGCAGATCTCTTTCCTCTCTAAAAAAGCTAGTCTCCTCCCAATTAATGTTCCCCAAAGAAATGTATAGAAATTAGCCTCATTCTACATCTCTTCACATCTTCCTACTATTCACATCACTTCCTGTTACAAGCTTCTCATTAGGATATAAAAAGAGGCTTTTTAGAGCTTTTCCCCTAAGATCACCACTTGTGTAGTTTAAAACATTAGGCCAGAGCTGCATTTTGTGCTGGTTACTGTGGATACCATGAAACATAGAAAACAATAACCAGACTACTCCTCTGTTGCCACACAAATCTTTTCCTACCATCTACCATCATTGATTATCTGCTTAAAGGATTTTGTGCTTAAGATCTCAATTATTTTTATACATGCTCTCACACAGAGACAGCCCCTCCCCACTACGTTAACCTTTTTTCAGCTTTTATTGTCATCACAGTGTCACAAGTACAGAGCAACGAAATGAACTCTCTGCATTTAACCCATGCCCTTGGGGAGCAGTGGGCTGCCATTGTGCAGCGCCCCGGGGAGCAGTGTGGGGTTAAGGGTCTTGCTCAGAGACCCAGAGGGGCAGTCTGTGGTTGTGCGGCTCAAACTCATAACCTTAGGTTTCCAAGCGCCCTAACCACTAGGTCGCCACTCCCCACTTGTCATACATCCTGGAGAATGTGAGACATGTTAGAACAAGCATTTTTAAAAATAAACTATACATAGAGGCAACATGTTGCCCATTGTTGTACCTAAACCCATCTAATAGTTTTTACAATCAACTGTACCAGTAGTTAAAAATAAGTGAAAATACTTTTGTAAAACGTGATACAGACATACTCTGACAAAGAAAATCAATCCAATTTTAAATTCAGTGTATTAGTTTAATGTAAAATCCCAAATCTAATGTGCATTTAGTGGCACAGCTAACAATTGCCATGCTTGTTTTTCCTTTGCCCAATTCACTTTGGCAAAATGTCCAGGAAGGAAACAGAGACATCCCATTTTCCAACTTTTACTGGGAGAGCCCAGGCATTACCTGGGTACAACTTGGATATGGTTTCTCCAACCAGAATGTGTCTGACCTCCTAGCAAGTTTAGTTGTCCTCCAACCAAAAGGTTTGGTTGTCCTCCATGAGAAGAGACAGGTTATTGAATTGGAAATTTTGTGTTTGGCTCGGGTCTTTTTTCAGTACAAAAGACACAAAGTTCAGTTGTAAACACTTAACGGAAGGACTAGGGTTCGCTTTTGGCTGCTGTATCCTGTGAAGCGACAGTTCTTCCAGGACTGGGTTGTTCGAAGGCGGTAAAATAAGGAGGCAGGAAGAGTTTGGCTATAGAGTCGAAACAGGTCCAACCTTCATCAACTTTCACTGCCCCTCACTCAGTCGCCTAGCTACTGTGATAATTGATTCACAGAGCAGGTGAAGAATGGATGCTGAACTTCTCACTACTGTTCTGTGTGATCATTTCATTGTTGAGGAGCTTCAGCAGCAGTGCCTTTATAACAGATATCTAATTTTGGTCCCCACACTGTAGAGATATTGGAATTTGACCTTAAATGTCAGCCAAACCCATTTGCACAAGGACAGATAAAACCTTCCAATAAACAGAACATTATCCACACCATATCTGGCGCAATAACCATTCAATAAATTTTAGAAGAAATTGTTCATATACCTGTATCATATTAAACTGCCCTTACAATATTCATCACTGTTCATCACCATTTACTTTTTTCCTCTGAGCACGGAGCAGCCGGCTTGCTTGGACTCACAATGAATCAGAGGATACCCGAAGCCGTGAAGGATAAACCAAACCTGTCCTCTCAACCAAGTGAAAAGAAAGCTGCATTTCTTGGACGCAGAAGGAGTCAATTAATCCGAACAGGCCAAAATGCCACGCTATGATGTAATCAGCCAATGAATCTGGTCTTTGAAGGATGCAGCTGCCAGATACGAACACAGCCAAAGAGCGATAGCTTTTAAATTAAGAGAAGGGAACGTTTTATACATACATCATACAGCAAACAACTCTAATACACCTTGAAGGTTATGACCTATACAGAACCACATCATTCCCAAAAAAAAACACACATGAGAAAAACAGGATTTATGCTAAGTGGCACCATTTACCTCAGCCTTACCTGTATTGAATGCACTGGACAAACCTCTTGCTTTGATAATGCAAAAACCAAATTCCCCTTAAAAGCCATATTTTCACAGAGCGCCACACAAAATACCACAAAGGTCTGGACTGAGTCTATTTTCTAATCCTGTATCTCAATAAAACACATAAAGACTAGATAATCCAGGTTTTGTGAGTTCTACTAATGACCCAGTTATTTGATCTTGAAGGTTGTTGAAGTAGACACATCTAAGAAGTGCAAAACATTGGACCTAGGGGAACGAGATTGAGGAATATTGTTCTAGGAGGTTTAGGTCCTACATCCTGTAAACAGTTACAGTCTGGTATGTCATTTTCTATGAAATATACAGTGTTCACATGCCTTTTTTTCATGGCTCGTCTTGTTTTTTATGGGTTCTTTTTTATTGCCTTTTTGTTTCATTTGGTCTTTAATGTGTAAATGTTTTTTAGTTGATAATCTTTTAGTCTTTTACATGATCCACAAGTGACGCATAATATTATACACAATAAAAAGACGAGATAAAAAGGTTTCTGGTTTGCTGAGAATTGAGTTTATTGCAGGTAAATCAATGGTAAACATTAGTTAACTATCAGACTGTTTTTTACTGGTGGCTCTTAAAGCATCATGTTGACTATTTGTTCTTATTCACACCTTGTTCAAAGAAACATACACTTATAATTACATCACAGACTAGTTTCTTAATAATTTTGACATTAATTTAAATGAAAAGGTTAAAAGTAAACAAATAGCTTGTCTATTTGTTTTTTTTCCATTTAGCGTACTTGCTGTAGATATAATCTTTCTATAAACATAGTTCATTTAGGCAAAGGTGTCACAGTAATTTTTTTTCTGACAGACCCAATTAGTCTGTTATTGCTCCCTATCTCTCTCTGCAGTCCTTCTTCCCATAGTCAGTATCCCAGCTGCTTGGTTGTTGTGGCCATGAAGAAGCTGATGGAGTCGGCTTTGCAAAGGAAACTCTTCCTCGTTCCGTTTACCCAGGGTAAGAATCCCAGCTGCTGCATCTCCATTGATGGCTCCTCCAATGCTCTTGTTGCCAGAACGACACAGCAGCACCTGGAGGCGACAGGAGCGAGCAGGTTGTCTGCAGCACTCAGACACACTCTGCGCGTTGCATCCCAGCTGAGACAGCAGCAGTATCAACATGAACAGCAGGACTTTCTGTTTGAAGAAGAAATTAGCTTTAGAATACATTTGTTTAGAAAAATCAAGCATTAAAATGACTCACATGAGTGAAAACAAGAGCTTGCAGAAAAGTTTCTAATAACTGGCACTGGAGGAATATACATGCAAATACACGGAATGACTTTTAACATTTTACAATTATGCTACTGATTTTATTCATAAGTGTTTTAAAGCGATGTTTAGTTTTACATTTTGATTTTACCCTTCAATGATGATTTTACCTGTAGCACTTTGAGATTATTTCTTAAATGTAAAGTGAATTACAAATAAAATGCATTATTATTATCATTATTATTAAAATGTATTTAATTATATTGACTGTGTTTTCTATGCTAAATTGAATGCCCAACCAACAGGAGTGTGCATCCAATTTCCTTCAGTGTCACAATGTATAGAACCTGCAAAAGAATATTGCAGTTCTTGCACAGCTATCTAATGTTGCTTCCTGGTTTGTAGTGTCTGGTTGTGCTAGGTTTGCAATATCACATTTATTTGTAAAGAAATTTGGACTGCATTTCATCATGGCAGGATGAAAATCTAGATCGCTTAGATTTGTCCACCTTAAACCATATTAGGTTGCTGCTCAGTGACGCAGTGGGTAGCCCTGCTGCTTGGCATCAAGAAGGTTCTGGGTTTGAATCCCAGCCTGGGGTCTTTCTACAAGAGGTTTGCATGTTCTCCCTGAGCATGAGTGGGTTCTCTCCGGGTACTTCAGCTTCCTCAAAAAATGACTGTTAGGTTAATTGGCTTCTCTAAAACGATCCTTAGGTGTCGGTGTGTGTGTGAATGGTTGTTTGTCTCTGTGTTGCTCTGTGATGGACTGGCAACCTGTCCAGGCTGGACCCCGCCTCTCACCCGTAGACAGCTGGAGATAAGCGCCAGCAACCCTCGCGACCCAAGCAGGGATAAGCATGACAGAAAATGGATGGATGAATCATATTGTTGGACTCTGCAAAGATTCTACCTCAGTCACTCATGTAGCCACATAAAAATTATAATAAAAAGCCCCTAAACTTAAGTTTAACCCAAACGAATGATTCCGCAGAGCTGCATTGTGCTGCACTCTCAGTATTTGGTGCATATTAATTTTAAGTGATACAGTTCCTCATCTGATAAGTATTTTTAAATGTTCATGTTGGTGAATACGTCAATTTTTATTGGAAATTCAAAACCCAAGCTAACTGGACATGTAAAATATATAAAAGCACAAAAACATAATTTCTTTCTTTTTTTTTTACAATTAAACTTTAAATGCTTAAACACTAAAGTTTATTCAAACAAATGAAAAATAATAATCGTCCTTTTTTGCATACATTCAAGCCCATATATAATTTTTTGACAGATAATTGATATTTGTGTTCCACTCTATCTTCTGGGCTTCCTCAGAAGAGAGTAGCTCCTTTACGGGTGTTACAAAATCAGCACGCTGATAAATAATGGGCTAAATTATGTGCGTTGCAGAATAGATTTTAAGTTTTTTTTTACTGTTGTTAACAGTCTTAGTCTGGCAGTTTGCATTAATTTAATGAAATGTCCAGAACTTACCACTTCTTTGGGTAAAATATTATTTTATTCATTTGAATCTTTGTTTAATCTTTCGTTACCTTTAGTTTTGTTAGTTTTAAGATCCTATTATAAATTCTACTGTTACTTCTTGATTTCATCATAACTGTAAACTGGCTTTAAAACATCACATTACAAGTAATACATTTCTCTAACAGAGATTTAATGAGAAAAAAAAAAACATTTTTCACTTGTATAACAAATGGCTTCACTGCATCAATAAAAACCTTTTGCAGTCGTGGACCACTGGTTATGATATTACAATATATTGCCATTACTAAAGATTAAAAAAATATATATATATATATATATATATATATATATATATATATATATATATATA